ATCATTGCTTGTCATTCAATTATTCATTTTAAATGTTCCGTCATTCCCCTACTTGATCCGTGTTTTTAATGGTACATAACCGCATTCGGGGTTGGTCTCAAAATAAATAAATAAAAAAGACAGACAAATGGTCTAAGATGAAATACAGAAAAACGTGTTCTAACTTCAATACATGATAAAGCAGTAATGGTAGAATTAAATACAGTTTCTTTTAATCTGGCAACGGTTGCTATAGTACCTAGATGTGGTGATCTGAATGTGAAACGCATCTTAACGGTCTTGCCCAAACATGTTCAGAATATATAATCGAGTGATTTAAAAGGAAAACTTTATTCCATTAGGTAGAGTTTAAGATCTGTTTCTTGTTTAGAGTGGTGCAATTATCATTCGGTGTTTTATTTTTGATAAAAAGTGCAGTAACAAAATTACAATTTCTTATAAATAAATAAATAAATAAATAAATAAATAAATAAATAAATGAGAGGGACATATAATGAATTGTTTTGTATTGTAAGAGAAAGTGAACCACTAGTTTTGCAATTTAACAGCCATAAGATATAGTATTAAACACGTGTACAATAATGGATCCTACGCAGTTCCAAGCATTCATCTCGACAAGGTTTATACTATAAGGATGTTCCGGATTAAAGGCACATACGAACCGAGCATCGGTGGAGCCTGGATTCCCAGTAACACATGTAAACCGCTTCTACTAGATTCTTATATGACTCAAATAAATTCGACATGCCAAGGGAAAAACTGAATAGATCACTCGATGAGCCATAAAAGACCTTTAGACTGCTCCTTTCTTTAAATTTATGGTTGTAAATTTAACCTACCTTCGTGACCTACTTTCCTGCCCCATTGACATACAGCTTAGAATGCCAGCAGAAAAATCCGTTCAAACATCATTTTCGGGTAAAATTATACAATGCCTTTTGGTAATTCTCTTAGTTATACTACTTGAAACTATATGCTGGCATTTGGTTGGTTTCTGTGACAAAAAAATTGACTTTGTATGCATCATTAAGCTAAGATGTCTTCTATCTTCTTGCTGAAGATTTAAGTGTAAAACACAGTAACACATACACATGGCATGTGTTTTGGTAATGCATATCTTAAAGGGTCTTACAAGAAAAAATATGAAAGTCCGCTGGAAAATCTGCGGTGGCATTGGGCTCTCTGAGGGACCATGCATTACAGCATTAACAGCAATCTAACCATTACAGTTCTGCTGTTTATTGAATTTTAAACCATGTCACGACTGAAAATTCTAGACTACGACCATAGTTTAATTGTAAAGTACTTTGATTATTTCCGACAGAGATATTTGGTTTTTGCTTCAGTTCGTTAGTTTATTTGTTAGTTTGAGTAAACGTTATTTTTATTATATCCATGAATTAATTAACGTTTACTTATTAGTTAATTGTTTGTCTTGGTGGAGGCCTGCCTCCTCTCAATGCTTTTCTAGTTCATCCTGCAATAATTAATTAATTAATTCTATTTATGATCCACACTTACATCTTGCACTTGGAAACAATAGTTAAACTGATACCAAAACCTTTCGTTGACGGCCTGGCATTCAAAGTGTACTTCTTACCTACGGAGAGCGCACAGTGCTGTCGCCATATACTCGCAGTGACACAAAGTCACCCTCAATATTTAATTTAGATATTGCTTTTCTTTTTGCACAATTTTCTTTAAAATGTTGGATTTTTACGTCTAATTCAGTGCTGCTACATCTGAACTATCACAGAACCTACCTTTCCACAGATCAGGTATGATACACAGGTCAGGTATGATGCACTTGCGGCTCTACAAAGGAATCTCCTTGTGTTGACAATAATATTTTGTGTTCTGTTGTCTAAGTTGAACACTTTTCTTTTCAACGACGACCCCTTCACCTTTCTTTTAATACCCTATGAATGATACAGTGGAATCCGTTTTGTGCAGTCATCTGTAATTGGCTGAGCTCAAAGAGTAGCACACCAAGGCGGAGGCTATTGGTGCTAGCGGTAGGTCTGTATAAGACATGAGCCATACCGTACTTTGCCAAATTCAAGCGTCATTTTTCATCCTTTCAACCTACCTTTATGACATTAAAACTAGCAGAAGTGGTGTTAAGATTAACGTACATATATAGTCTCTTTTGATATCGTTATCTTTGATGGAACAATACCTCGCATGGGCTGTAAAAATGAATTTTGATGCAGTATGTTAAAATAACACACAAGAGGGTTGTAGACCCCATTCCCACTGACACCATCGGTCTACGTAGATCGATTCAATTCTGTGGGGACTCTCGCTGAGTGCAATCAGCTTTACTGAATAACACGCCTCCTCCTGACTTTAAGCAGAACGCAGAAAAGCCGGTGATTGTACGGGTACGTTGGAAACAAGAGTAAGGGCGCCATTCAGTTAAGCTGATTGCAGTCAGCGAAAGTCCCCACAGAGTTGAATCGATCTACGTAAACAAAGGATCTCCACCATTTTACTTGTATCTCTTTATAATGTATATTGTATAACGCCATAATCATTTTTTCCATTTATTTACTACCATAACTGTTATCCTATATATATATATTTAGAACATAATAGTAAGAGAGACATTAATTAAATGTAAAAGTATTTCTGTGCTCAATAAAATTATTAATTATCAATATTATTAAAATGCATAAATGTGCTGTGAACGTACGGTTGTTGTTTGTCAGCTTTGTCAAACAGTCAAGGACACATTGTACTGTCAGTCAGTCAAAGAGAACGGAAATCACTAATACTGTGGAAAGCCTTTGGCCAAAACGTTTAAATTTTCATTTTATATTGACGAACTTATTACTTATCTAAATCCATTCATTAGAGGGTATTCTACATGTAGATACATTAAAACTTCAGACATAAGTCATTCTGCATTCTTACAGCGATAATATTGATCTATGTTTTCTATTATGTGGATTTGTCCAAAAATATGATGTCGATTGCGTTATGTAATCTATCTTATCAAATCTTCCACACCAAGTGGTGCCTTGCAACCATGCAATATATAATCAGAATACACACAAAAAGACGTCAATAGCACCAAATAATTTGGAGAAATTGAACTCCGATGACCAGGCACAGGATACGTGTAGAGTATATTCTGGTACCAAGACGCTATGTTAATTTGTTAAAAGCACGTGCCCGTCTGGGTAGCCAGAGGCAAGGTTTAACACTATCATGTTCGATAAATCATCTAGGTGGAAAAACATTTTTGGTTTTGTAGGGGTCAACGCTCTCTGTGCACCATTTGGTCAAGTTGTTGAATTGATTGTTTACTAAGGGCACATTCAGAACAAGTTGATCCACGGACTAACAGATTCACGGATCAAATATGACCGACCCACTTGAAAGCTGGTCGCATAATCCCTTAATAGACACTGAAAAGATTACCCACGGGGATTAGGCGACGAGCATTCAAGAGGGACGGCCATATTTGATCTGTTAGAGGTCATTCAAAACAAGGTGGACTGCGGACGAACAAATCCGCGGACTAAATATGGCTGACCCTACTTACAAGCAGCGCTACCGAATTCTCTGATGGCCTCCCCGCCTCCACACAGAGGAGCTTTGCAATTAAACCTTGAAGCCGAGATTTAAAACGTTTAATGCCGCGTGTGAACGTGTGAAGGTGGGAGGGGGGGGGGAGGCCATCAGGGGATCAAGCGGCACTGCTTTTAAGTAGGATCAGCCATTAAGTCGGCGGATCATATGTTCGAAATGCCCTCTTAATCCGCGGATCGACTTTGTTTGTGAATGCCGCCCAAGATCGACATCACGTCGCGGCACACGCCTCTCTATCGAACAACGATACCCGGATTAACGGCTGGACTTTTCAATGTGTAATTGACTGCAATCACGTGTTACGTTGTTCACATTATTAACAACTAACTACATTGGTAACGGTGCAACTTGGCGTCTGTCATAAGCTCTGGAGGCAGGAGGAGAGGGGGTGAAGGGCCATGTCCATTTTCTTATGCCCAATGTCTTAGAAATATGCAATTGAAATATTTATTATAACACATTATAAATAAGCCTTCAAAGTGTTGCTTCAAACACAAAAGCTGTGTGAAGCAGCAACAACCCTTTCATACAAGAAGATAAGGGTGTTAACATTTTGTGATTGCGCAAACGCGGTTCAAGCGCCTGTTGTTCAACTTTTTTGTTTATATGATTTACGTGTTTAAAACTGGGTTTAAGTTCTCATACACTGTTTTACTAAATTTATACATTTTCCAAGAAAAAAATTAAATATGTCATTCCAAATTTCCATCTTAAGGAAATTGTTTTTCTAAATGACAGTTATAGGCCTATAAGGTATCGATTATCAAAGAGCGAATTACACAATTACATTTATATTTACAGGAGCCTGAAAAACGACTGATTTTAATCAGTTAAAATCACATTTGCTTGAGCACAACTCTAACAGGTGATTTCACCAAAATAATGTAATACCGTATAATTATCGTCTAATTAAATATTGATTATCTAGATATATATCCAAACAAACATTAAAGTAGTGTATACAAATATAAAATGTAGAAAAGAGTGGATACTAAGATCTGTACCACGAACCCCCCGCCTCTCCCTCCATTGCGGAAATGGAAGTATCACAATTCACAATATAGTTTGGTGAATTTAACAGTAATGCATAATGCTTTAGTGTGGCCCAAAGTGCGTCGTTTCCTCTTTTATTGGGAGGGAGATAATTGGTGTAAATAACCACAGTTAACACGTGTGTTTATAAATTGCAATTACTTAAAGCAATTTAGCAAAGTGAAGGGCTGACACTTCTTGGTATAAGAATGCCACCACAAATAACCTGCAATCGTGTAGCGCTTTTTAGCTTTAGGCTGACCTACTGTGTCTTACGTATACGCTTGAGTAACGCTATAAATCATGGGTTAAAAGTTAAAAGCGCTTATGCGACAGTTTTATAGAGTATCATTAGGTGGGTAGATGTAGGCCATATTTGTATCCGGGTCAACTTTATTATTTTACAGTTACAACGGTACTGAACGGGGATACCAAAAGAAATGGGGATTTCTTTGTTTGTCATATGTTTTGTATGTTTCTTGAACATTTCGTTGGTAAAAGCAGACGACATAGAGACACTGGAGGAGTTGCAAAAAGCCATCAAAGTTGGCGATAATAAAAAGGTTGGATTTTTAAGCCTCACAAACTTTCAGTCTGTGAAAACAGTTCTACCCTCCAACGTCCAGGTTGTCGTATGTGACGGAGAGAAGGAATACTTCGGAATTCGTTGCAAGGCTACTGACGATTTGCTGAAGTTGGTAAAAGATGGAAAACTGATTGCAGGACTGATATCTGGGCTACCCGAAGAACACCATGCTGCGCATGTGCACGTGTTCAGCAGCACGCTCATATCTCCACGTGCTATGTTTATGGTCCCGGATGTCTCCTTCGCCCATCCCCATGGGGCACCCCCACAAAAATCAAGCCGTGACTTGTCGATAGCTCTGAACGCAGCGATAGTGAGGGTACAAACCAAGGGTCTCGATGAGAAGGCACGCCTGGCCAATATGCCCTTTGATCTGGTTATGGTACGCACGTGCAAAAGTGACGACTATGAAGCGTTTCCAGTACCATCCAAAAGCAACGCAACTGGGATCCTTCGAGATGTTCTGGACACAAAGAAACTTAAATTAGGGGCATTTGGTCCATTTGATTGGGGAGATAATGATGGCAACTATCTGGTCACTCCACATCGCGGATTTTATCCTGACCTGATGAAAGCAATTGTGGGAGAATTCAGAAACCTGTCTGGTCCTGACGGCGAAAAGTATGGCGATGACATTGCGCTAGAGAGGGTGTGGTCAAAGTCTTCCACTTTTCGTGATCTCTTTGATGGGCAATCACACGTCACTGAGCCATATTACCTGATAGATGCAAGCTATACTGGAACTGGAGAACCGTGTACCAACAGCAGTGACTGTCGCCCGGCCGCCATACCAGGGGGACGCGAGGTCTGCGACACCTATCGGGGAAGTGATGGGGAAATGGTACGGAACGCAACTACCGGGGAACTTCTGAAAAAGTGCCAACATCCAGAGAGAGCAAGGATTGACTTTTTTCGGTTGAGTTGTACAACTCTGGGGTCAGACAGCACCTTCTTTACGAAGAAATCCCCTCTGTTAATGAAGCAGACGACAGGGAAGTTATCAACCGGCGCCATTGTTGGCATCATCATCGGTGTTGTCGTTCTGATTGCTGCTGCAGTTTTTATTTGTTATTTAGTCCAGCGAGAAAGACAGGGGCAACCTGTGTTTCAACCGATCAAAAGCAATGAATAAGGATAAGGTTAATTCTGAACAATCCTCTATGATCTGATTTCAAAAACTGGTCCAGACCATCAACAGGTTGAGACATTTCCTTAATGGTACACGTGCCAGCATACTAAACAGAGTTTTTGCACCGAATCTAATTTTCTTATAGTAAAAGGCAAACATCACTGACCCTTTTTTTGTTTTAAAAAATCGATGCATGATACTTAATTTAGGAGGCGCAACATATCGCGAACTACAGACTTGACATTTAATATGGAATATTTTTTTCCAAATCATTTTTCATCAGTTTTTTTTCCTATTTTTCTGACTGATAAATGAAAATAAGGATTAAAATCGTGTTATAATATCTTTTAATTATCTCTCTGATGTCATTGTGATATCAGTTCATTAATGGAATTCGCCAGAGAAGCAAACAAAAACACATTGCCTATTCTATGTCGTACGACAACCATTAAAAGAGATTTTTTGGACCTCCATATTTTTCAAATTATTGTCTGTAAAAGAGCCACACGCTCCACAAAGGACCCTCATGTTAGTCTCTAGTCACAGTAACGGTCGCTGTTACGCTTGACCTCTTCTGGCTGCTACCAGCGCTCTCAAGTGGCAAGGCATTCCTTGGGTTAGGTTTTTAAAGTTCAATCTGGAATAACATTCCAGGCATCGGTCAAAAACTGTCCAATTTGGTCCTGTTTTGTTATAGGACATGTAGGTCATTGATTCGGCGAGTAATGGTCTACCCACATATTGTCTATGTGGTTCAAATATGGCGATTTTGATGACCAAGGTAGCTGTTCGTTCCTTTGGTTCTGTACTTAATCTGCTATTAAAAGTGCTCTGTGTGAACTGTCAACCTCACCGTGCAACCTAAAATTGTTCCTAAGTTGCCCCCTATCAAATGATAACCAGATCGTTCCCAGATTATTTCTTTATTTCGCCTGGTTCAGGATTTTGTCGATGACTACCATTAGTGTTTTGGCACCAATGTGGTATCCACTCCAAATTCTGACGCTGTTAATGACCTTAGTCACTTTATACGCGGCGCACGCTTCGTCGTTGGCCTCTTCTGGATGTCTGTAAACTCTGTTTTGGCTGTTGGGCGGTACAGGTGAAAACTGACCTCAATAAAGAAAGCCACGAGATTTCAGTGTTCAACCCAGAAACAGTCAAGGTCCCCAATTCGTTAGAGAAACATACAACGATGTTTAGCTATTGACAGTGGGTTCCTCGGAGGTCGTCTGGTATTCTAACCTGCTAAAACCAGTTTGGTGTTCGCTAAGGGCCTTGAAAAATGCATTTTGGTGACAATTTACCCCCAACATGATCGGACAGGGTAGTTTTTGTTTAGTTGCAACAGCATATCCCGAAAGACAGTGGGTCCTGTACCCTTGTGGTGAGATTTCAGTACATTGGGCGTGGCCTCTGTGTAGGTAGATCAGTCTTGGCATTACTCTATAAAACTGTGCGGACCGTTTCGTTTGGCGCAATTATCTGTCTGGCAGTGCATGTCTTTTTCGCGCCATTCTGCCACAGATTAACAAATTCGTAAAGCACTGCATAGCTCATTTTACACAATGCAAACCCGACCACTTGCATGCAAAATTTCAAATACTTCTATGCAGTCGTTGCAGACATATAGATACTTTTTTGACAGAACCATGTTTTGCCAAAGCCAAGCTTTAACCAGCCCAAAGGAGCACTACCCAATTAAATCACTGCATATTACATAATGCAGCAGCTCAACAAACCTGATATTCAGTTAATTGGTAGCGACACACCTGACTTCACACTTTTTCATTCACATATCTTATATGAGATCGGTGTTTGTGAAAAAAAGAACGCATTTTCACCTAGGCATACCTTCGAAACTGAAATATTCCATATTAAATGTCAAGTCTGTATTTTGGCGCATACATGTATGCTTCTGAGAGTAAACACGGTATATAATAAGTTAAATTACTGCAGGCATATATGTATATACATGTTCTTATGAAGCAGAAACACTTTATAGTGTCTGAGTTGTTAAGATATCTAAACAGACACTTTTTCTGTACATTTCTTCTATGCTCGTTATCAACGTTACACATACAGCAAGTGTCTGTTTTAGGCAATTTTACTGGTACCCGGTACTTCCAAAGTACTAGAACGCTATCTTAGGGCGTATTTGATCAGTACAAAGTCCTGCAAGTACTATTTTATGCACGTGAAGGAGTAAATAAAACACTTGAATAGAAGATACGACAACACATGCAGCTTTATTTCCTGATGGTCACTTGTGAGGCAATGAATATGAACCGGGCAAATGATACAGTAAAGCTGTCATTACATGTAAAAAACATCACTTATCATTATGAACTCTCAAAGTAGGCTCCGTATAGGGAAATAAAAATTATTTTCCAGAAATAAGCTGTGACCAGGGACAAATCTTTGAACAAACGAATATTGTGGAAAAGTGTAATTTCGACAAACTTTTCTATTTTTATTTTGCTTATCAGTGTATCAAATTTAATCGTGCTACACAATGAAGACATGTACAGGTACGTAAGGTAATTATTTGCGGCACTTACTGGTGCGTGACAGCAATGTCAAGTATGCGTATTTTTCATTTACTTACTTTAAGTGGTTTATAGAAGCTATACACGCCATATTTATTTCCGGGTTACTTTACATTGCGCATTTACGTTACAGGTAAGCCAAAGAAATGGCGATGTCATTTGTGGTTTCTTGCACATTTGGTTTGTCAAAGAGACATTGGAAGAATCGAATAAAAACAATAAAAATGGTGATAATAAAAACGTTGGATCTTTAAGCTATAGAAACGTTTAGTTTGTGAAAACAGTACTAGCATCCAACTTCCAGGTTGTCGTATTAATCTGGTTGCTAAACGAAAAACTCGTGACGTGGCGGATATTTGGGGCATTTGGTTGATTTAACGAGGGGGATAATGACGGCAACTATCGGGTCACTCCACATGGCTTCCTGATGGAAGTAATAATTGGAGAATGCAGAGGCCAATTAAAACAATTTATGTCTGAAACTTTTCATAAAACAGAAGGTTTGGGGTATATCCCCTGAATAGAGGCCATTCATCTGAGTAGCCACATTGCCTGATGAAAAAGCTTCTAGACAGACACTGAAATATTGGAGGTAAAAATATTTCTAGTGTTATGATACTCAAAATGTTTCCAGCAACCACTTTCGTATACCCCGTACTTTACATAATTAATGCATGTTATAAATATGTACTTTTACATGCCATATCATGCACTAAAGCCCTTATGGCCTACATGTATATGCAGTATATATGTAAGTATTAAGTCCTGCAATTATACAATATATGTATAGAATTTGTGATATTCGTAGCGAGTCTAGGTACATTTTAACTTTAAAACCAAAGTTAGACGTGTGATATTGAACTCATTCTCATTCTTAAATCTACATACCATGCCGTACATGGCGATCCTTTTTATCAGGCAATTTAGCGAACTGTAGTTGGGCTGTAGCGCTATTTACCTTAAGCCTGACCTACTGTGCCTAACGCAAACGCTTGAGGAACGTAATGAATCACGGGTTAAAGGTTAAAAAGCGAGTATCATTAGGTGGTTAAGGCCATATTTATATCCGGGTCAACTTCATTATTTTGCAGTTACAACGGTACCAAAAGAATGGGGATTTCATTGTTTGTCATATGTTTTGTAAGTTTCTTGAACATTTCGTCGGTAAAAGCGGACGACATAGAGACACTGGAAGAATTGCAAAAAGCCATCAAAGATGGCGATAATAAAAAGGTTGGATTTTTAACCCTCACAAACTTTCAGTCTGTGAAAACAGTTCTTTCCCCCAACGTCCAGGTTGTCGTATGTGACGGAGAGAAGGAATTCGTTGCAAGGCTATACTGACGATTTGCTGAAGTTGGTAAAAGATGGAAAACTGATTGCAGGACTGATATCTGGGCTACCCGAAGAACACCATGCTGCGCATGTGCACGTGTTCAGCAGCACGCTCATATCTCCACGTGCTATGTTTATGGTCCCGGATGTCTCCTTCGCCCATCCCCATGGGGCACCCCCACAGAAATCAAGCCGTGACTTGTCGAGAGCTCTGAATGCAGCGATAGTGAGGGTGCAAACGAAGGGTCTCGATGAGAAAGCACGCCTGGCCAATATGCCCTTTGAGCTGGTTATGGTACGCACGTGCAAAAGTGACGACTACGCAGCGTTCCCAGTACCATCCAAAAGCAACGCCACCGGGCTTCTCCGATATGTTCTGGACACAAAGATACTTAAGTTAGGAGCATTTGGTCCATTTAATTGGGGAGATAATGATGGCAACTATCTTGTCACTCCACATCGCGGATTTTATCCTGACCTGATGGAAGCAATTATGGGAGAATTCAGAAACCTGTCTGGTCCTGACGGTGAAAAGTATGGCGATGATATCGCACTACAGAGGGTATGGTCAAAGACTTCCACTTTTCGTGATCTTTTTGATGGGAAGTCACACGTCACCGAGCCATATTACCTGATAGATGCAAGCTATACTGGAACTGGAGAACCTTGTACCAACAGCAGTGACTGTCGCCCAGCCGCCATACCAGGTGGACGCGAATTCTGCGACACTTATCGGGAAAGTGATGGGAAAATGGTACGGAACGCAACTACTGGGGAACTTCTGAAAAAGTGCCAACATCCGGAGAGAGCAATAATTGACTTTTTTCGGTTGAGTTGTACAACTCTGGGCTCCGACAGCACCTTCTTTACGAAGAAATCCCCTCTGTTAATGAAGCAGACGACAGGGGAGTTATCAACCGGCGCCATTGTTGGCATCATCATCGGCGTTGTCGTTCTGATTACTGCTGCAGTTTTTATTTGTTATTTAGTCCAGCGAGAAAGACAGGGGCAACCTGTGTTTCAACCGATCAAAAACAATGAGCTAGGATAAGATTATAATTCTTAGCAATCTATGATCTGATTGCAAAACTGGTCCAGACAGTTCACGGGATGAGATAATTCCTCAATGGTACATGTGCCAGTATACAGTGTACTATACGGAATTTTGGGCCAAATATCATTTTCTTATAGTAATAGGCAAAAATCACTGACCCTTTTTTATTTTAAGAAATCGATGTATAATTTAGGAGGCGCAACTCATCGCAAACTATTTTCGCGCATACATGTATGCTTCTGAGAGTAAACACGGTATATAATAAGTTAAATTACAACAGGCATATATGTATGTACTGTTAGACCCCTGTTAGACCCCTGGGTTCGAGACCTACAATTGACATGATCTTCACCCCTCCCCCCCTCCACCCGCCAGTATTATTTATTGTAACAATATGTGTATCGGTGTTTTTAATGCCTAATTTGTGTTCCTTGATCATTACACTTACAATTTTTTGTGTTTTTTTAAGCGTCAAAGCGCCAAAAACACAAAAGGTACGCACCCAGTAGAAAAGGACATGAAATAATATACATATATCGCAAAGGGGGAAAAGAAGAGGTGCCTTGGATGGTACCTTATACTGTTAAAAAAATATCGGAAAAAACATGTTCATACATATTGTGCACTGAGGGAGGAGTACGCCAAAATGATGTATTAACACATGTAAAAATTTGCGTTTCCCAGAAGAAAAGTACACATAACAAAATAAATGAGGCAAAAACTATGGAATCCGTGTTGTTTTTGTTACTTAATTAAAATGCATATAAACTGCCTATCGGAAAATAAAAACCTCGTAAAATATTAAAAATAAAATGCTATTTTAATGAAATAAAGTAAATGTTTATTATATCTTTAAGACTAGTATATATCTACCTCCATTAATTCATGTAATTTCTCGCTGTAAACCATACAGGACATGCGTTACTAAAATGTTAGGAACGCACGTCTCATCAGGACTTGCATTACTTGGGAGTCTTCGTCCTACGAACATTGAATCCTAGTAACGTATGTCCTAGGACTTCCATTCCTAGCAATGCATGCCTTAGGACTTGCATTCCCAGGACTTAGTGTCCGGGCGGACTTGCGTTACTAGGGCGTGCACTCCTGCCACACCGGTACTATACATAATTAATGCATGTTATAAATATGTACTTTTACATGCCATGCCATGCACTTAAGCCCTTATGGCCTATATGCAGTTTGTTCAGTATTGAGTCCTGCAATTAGACAACATATTTATAGAATTTGTGATATCTTTAACGCGCCTAGTTAAATTTTAAATTTATACGAAAGTTAGAATAAAACGTGTGATATTGACTTTGTTCTCATTCATAACTCTACATACATGGGGGTCCTTTTTATCATAATCATAATCATAGCAAAGGAATAAAACACCCATCCATTACTTTTCTCTTTTATTTTCAAATAACTGGAGGCATAAAACTGGTCAATTGCATATTATGTGTCCTGCTAAGCGCAAGTCTTTGGCTTTTATTGCTACTGAGGCCAATGGTTAGTAAACTAGGTAAGCCACCTTCCAAGGCTTTGATCTTTTTATAAATAAAACATTATGTTTTTAGTGTTTAAATTCTCAAACAGTTTCCAACAGTACATTTTTCTTTGCATTGCTAATTACTAGCACTGTACATATAATTACATCAGTTAATAAATGAACTTGATCAAAGATAATGTGATCCACACTTAAAAAATCTAAACAAACAATGACTTTAAAATATTTGTATTATATCTGTTGGACCACTTAGGTCTGGAAATTAGTAAAAACATAATCTACTTTGAAGCAATTTGTTGAACTTAATGAGCAAATTAAAATAGTAGGAAGTGGTGTTCAACCTTTTGCCATAACTGACATTGAAGTAACATAATTATGATGAAAAAGACAAAAAAAAAAGATAGAAAGATGAAAAAAAATGTTCACAAAAAACAAATATGATTTTAATTTTTCATCTCTTAGAAGATGTTGTAATGCTACATGTACTGAAAGAGTTTAAGTTCAACTCAACTAATCATTATAAAAATAAATCATTTTCATTTTCTTCCAAACATAAGTTGACCAAATATGGTCATTGACTTACATATTTTATAATTATAACATATGTCACCTTGACCTTATTTTCAATTATCATTATCATAACAGTCATAGTAAAATCATCTCTACAGGTTATGTGAAGATGTCAATGGACAGAACAGACATTTATCTCCTACATACATTGTACATGTACCGTAGTACTATGAATAGGTCAAAGTGATGTAGCTTATTTCACACAATTGAGCTCACAGTAAGTGAATCATGAATATAAATATTATGATATAAATGAATATAATTAAGTGACACAATGCAGGCCCGTAGCCAGCAATTTCAGAGGGGGGGTTCGTTTTCTGAAAAAGTGGACCTTTTACCATAAAATCCTCATGTACATAGATCAAATTTTACCCAGAGTGGACCTTTTCCCAGCAAAAAGGGTGGTTCTTTCTAACCCCCCGAACCTCCCCTGGCTACGGGCCTGCAATGTATAAAACTGGTGTAAAGCTAAATAATTGTGACCTATGCAGAGATATCATTCCACTGAAGCAGTTTAGCAGAATCTCGACCACTGGCCACTGACATCTCTCTCACGTAATGAGAATTCTCCCATCCTCGCGAAACTTGTCTCTTTAAAGCTGAATGTGGCATGTGAATCTTTGGGATAGATGGACTAGAGATAAAGGAGTCTCTGTCGAGAGCGTATTCTGAGCTGATAGGTGTACTGTAGTAGGAGTATTGAGACATGGAGGTGTAGGGGCGTGTCATGGTAGCTGCGGGGATACGGTTACTAACTCTGTGACTCAAATGGTAGCTCTTTGGTCTGGCATACATATCTTCATCTGGGGAGAAAACAGACAGCCATTTACAGTTATCATAAAGTGACAGTGGACAACAGCTGAAGTTATTTTCATAACAAAAGTGTTCTCAGTTTTCAGTTCAAAATAGACATGGCGTACCTGCCACCTTTCTGTAACACCAAGGCACATTTTTGTGAGAACTACAGAAAAGCCACAATTCAAATGTATTGGTTTTCCCTATTCAAATGTTCAAGTTTTTGTAAAGCTCCGCAGTCACATACATTTGTGTTCCTTTTACACTACCGTCATCATCAACCATCATGTTAGAGTGCATAAATAAGTCGAAATCTGTATGATAACAAATTCATCTGATTTTACCGGTATATATACATGTTTTTGATTAGAAAGATTTTAAGAATTATTAGAAAGATTTTAAAATTTTAAGCCAGGTACTTTTCATTACTTAGTCTGCAATAATAGATGTATTTTTCCTTGAAACTGTAAAACTTCAGCTGAGTCAAATGTCATGCATGAAAAAGAGTCTTTCCTTTCTTCTATATTTGACAGTTTTACTTAATTAATTGTTTATTTTAAACCTGATTTCTTTCAAATTGAAAATGTTGAACTTACTGTTAAAGAAAGCAGACTTGGCTCTCCTAGTGTAGTCACCTGAGATAGAAATGGGGTCATATGGCCTGTCATCTGGCTCTGGTTCTGAAATTGTTGAAAAGTAAAATAATGTTTGTCACTTTAGGAATAATAATATCAAAATATAGGTCAACTTAACATATATGAATTAAGTCTCACATGGAGAAGTGTATGAATGTGGTTTTGTCACAATTCTAACAGATATGAAGGCTCACATGGAGCATTGTTTGTATGTGCTCTTGTCACAATCAGGAACAATTGATGAATATGGCACAACTAACACAATCCAAAGTAATGACCACTAAGAATAAAACTTATGTGACATAAAATGAAATGCACTTACTGACAGTTCACCATTATATGTAACAAAAAAGTAAAAATATTCATTCTTTCAAATACAATTAATGAAAAACAAAATTCTTAGTTAATTTTAATAATAAATCAATATTTATACAAGAATAAATTTGTTAAAAAATGACTTACTTGATGTATTGCCAAATAATGTTTCATCAACATATGATTTCCTGTTGACACAGTAGTATTTATTGTACAGGCTGCAAGTAAATGGAAACAGTATGTCAATATCAGCTATGGCTATTTGCTGCATAAAAAATAACCTTCAGCAGGAAAACAAATGTGTGTGTGTGTGTGTGTGTGTGTGTGTGTGCATGTGTAGGGGCTAGCTGCAGGTGCCCCTCATTAAGTCCCCCCCCCCCTCCCTTTGACCTCTCCCAACAATAGAATAATGATTGATCACAATAGGGGAAAGGCAAGTCATTTTTCTATGCACTTCTCAGTACATATCATTGTCTACTTGTCCAAAGCAAGTCAAATATTGTATCCTTGTGACTTCTCCCCTTACAAAATTTGGATCTGCCACTGATTTTCAAAGCATGGAAACCAAAACTAGAAAAAAAAAAAGATTTTTGGAATATAGAGGTTAACAGAGGAAATGCAGATGTTATTTGACAAGTCAAATCAAAATCTTTGACAGGGATATTGATTGTGTATAGTTATAATTAGCCAAGAATGGCTGGTATTGATTAATTGGAAGTAAATCAAAAAAGCAAATCAAAAGATATAATTACAGAGGAGCAGACTTCTCTGGATGTTTTCAATAGTGTTAATGAACTGGAACAACATCAATATATCAAGACTGCCCTGTTTATCCAATTAGTTTACTAGACAACAAAAAGGTGAACAAAATAAATGAACTGGCCTAGCTGTTCGCCATGGTTCACAGGCAATATATATTGGTCATATACACTGTGTATGTATATTTTTTCCTTTTATAAATCAAAACTTTTGGTCAATGAACTCCACATCCAACTGTTCAGAAATCAATTTTATGAATAAAAGTAAAAATATTAAAAAATGCATTTCACCAAGAAGTTGGGTTTTTATCTTTTTTTACCTTGATCATATTTATTCCTAATCTTTTATACTAATCTCTCTTAAATATTTATACACACGTATATGGTTTACTTAACATTTGTTATCATTGTTATTATTATTATTATTATTATTATTATTATTACCATCTTGTCATGGGGATAAATCTTATCTGTTGAGCTCTAGTAAAAATACCATGTCCATCTTTGCAGGAGAAATACCTTCTTCCCTTGAACAACCCGTCGTGGGTCCCAACTGAAAATAAAAATCAAATCTGAATTAACTGAAGTGACAAAATAATACAGAAAAAGAGATCATGCTGAAAACATAACAAGTACTTACATGTATTACAATATGACAATATTCAATTACAACTTATGCACCAGAATCTACTGATAAAAAATGTTGTACTTCACAGGTACTACTATAGTATACATACAATGAAATGAAACTGAATTACAGTGTCGTCCCAATGGAGCCGAGATTTAATGACTGTACCCCGCAGGGACGACGCGTGGGGAGGTGTGTGAGAGGCGGAGAGACTATTAAAAGATTTTTCTTTCATGTATGTCCACCATATTTAGTTTGTTGATTTGTAGAGCCATGGCTCAACTCGTTGTGAATTTGGTCTTACACTGTAAACATGGGAAAATGAAGCTATATTCTTACCAGGCTCATCCAGGGCTACTCCCACCCAGTCTCCTGCCTGAGTAACCAGAGGACCCTTGTACCTCACCATGCCAGTGTAGATACCGCCATTTCTCTTGACCTCCACTCGCTGGTTTACATTGATATTACTGTGGAGAACCATTCCTGTAAAATATGTGAGGAATTTATATTTATTGAAACGTTTCATGTATGGTATTTTTTAAAACTTTGCGCTGAAAGATTAAAAGCAGAACAGCAGAATTAAAAAAAAATTAAGTACAGTACCTGTGAAGGAACAAACCAAATCATAGTGTATAAATTGCTCACTCCCTTTCAAAATTAATCATAACAAATTATAATTTTATGTGGCACTCATCAGTAGAATATATACTCGGTATATCTGAGAGGAACTTTATCCAAATTTTGGAAAAGTAGCTGTACGAACAAAAAATACTGTATNCTGCCTATCGGAAAATAAAAACCTCGTAAAATATTAAAAATAAAATGCTATTTTAATGAAATAAAGTAAATGTTTATTATATCTTTAAGACTAGTATATATCTACCTCCATTAATTCATGTAATTTCTCGCTGTAAACCATACAGGACATGCGTTACTAAAATGTTAGGAACGCACGTCTCATCAGGACTTGCATTACTTGGGAGTCTTCGTCCTACGAACATTGAATCCTAGTAACGTATGTCCTAGGACTTCCATTCCTAGCAATGCGTGCCCTAGGACTTGCATTCCCAGGACTTAGTGTCCGGGCGGACTTGCGTTACTAGGGCGTGCACTCCTGCCACACCGGTACTATACATAATTAATGCATGTTATAAATATGTACTTTTACATGCCATGCCATGCACTTAAACCCTTATGGCCTATATGCAGTTTGTTCAGTATTGAGTCCTGCAATTAGACAACATATTTATAGAATTTGTGATATCTTTAACGCGCCTAGTTAAATTTTAACTTTATACGAAAGTTAGAATAAAACGTGTGATATTGACTTTGTTCTCATTCATAACTCTACATACATGGGGGTCCTTTTTATCATAATCATAATCATAGCAAAGGAATAAAACGCCCATCCATTACTTTTCTCTTTTATTTTCAAATAACTGGAGGCATAAAACTGGTCAATTGCATATTATGTGTCCTGCTAAGCGCAAGTCTTTGGCTTTTATTGCTACTGAGGCCAATGGTTAGTAAACTAGGTAAGCCACCTTCCAAGGCTTTGATCTTTTTATAAATAAAACATTACATTTTTAGTGATTAAATTCTCAAACAGTTTCCAACACTACATTTTTCTTTGCATTGCTAATTACTAGCACTGTAAATATAATTACATCAGTTAATAAATGAACTTCATCAAAGATAATGTGATCCACATTTAAAAAATCTAAACAAACAATGACTTTAAAATATTTGTATTATATCTATTGGACCACTTAGGTCTTGAAATTAGTAAAAACATAATCTACTTTGAAGCAATTTGTTGAACTTAACAAGCAAAATAAAATACTTGTAAGTGGTGTTCAACCTTTTGCTATAACTGACATTGAAGTGACATAATTATGATGAAAAAGACAAAAAAAGATGTGAAGATGAAAAAAAAAAATGTACACAAAAAACAAATATGATTTTAATTTTTCATCTCTTAGAAGATGTTGTAATGCTACATGTACTGAAAGAGTTAAAATTCAGCTCATTAACTAATCATTATAAAAATAAATTATTTAATTTTTCTTCTAAACATATGTTGACCAAAAATGGCCATTGACATGCATATCTTTTAAATATAACATATGTCAACTTGACCTTATTTCCAATTATCATTATCATAACAGTCATAGTAAAATCATCTCTACAGGTTATGTGATGATGTCAATGGACAGAACAGACATTTACCTCCTACATATACATGTACCGCAGTACTATGAATAGGTCAAATTATTTCACACAATTGAGCCCACAGTAAGTGAATCATGAATATAAATATTATGATATAATTAAGTGACACAATGTATAAAACTGGTGTAAAGCTAAATAATTATGAGCTATGCAGAGATATCATTCCACTGAAGCAGTTTAGCAGAATCTCTACCACTGGCCACTGACATCTCTCTCACGTAATGAGAATTCTCCCATCCTCGCGAAACTTGTCTCTTTAAAGCTGAATGTGGCATGTGAATCTTTGGGATAGATGGACTAGAGATAAAGGAGTCTCTGTCGAGAGCATATTCTGAGCTGATAGGTGTACTGTAGTAGGAATATTGAGACATGGAGGTGTAGGGGCGTGTCATGGTGGCTGCAGGGATACGGTTACTAACTCTGTGACTCAAATGGTAGCTCTTTGGTCTGGCGTACATGTCTTCACCTGGGGAGAAAACAGACAGCCATTAAAAGTTATCATATTAACTTGTGAAGGCTTTAAAGTGACAGTGGACAACAGCTGAAGTTATTTTCATAACAAAAGTGTTCTCAGTTTTCAGTTCAAAATAAAATTACTAAGTCTGATTGATGTGGCTATTTTTTTTCATGAATATGTAAAACTTCAGCTGAGTCAAATGTTAAGCATGAAGTCTATCTTCTATTGTATATTTGATAGTTGAACTTAATTAATTGTTTATTTTAAACATGATTTCTTTTAAATTAAAAATATTGAACTTACTGTCAAAGAAAGCAGACTTGGCTCTCCTAGTGTAGTCACCTGAGATAGAAATGGGGTCATATGGCCTGTCATCTGGCTCTGGTTCTGAAATTGTCAAAAAATAAATACAGATTTGGCATTTTTAAGAATAATAATATCAGAATATACGACAACTTTACAAATATGAATTAAGTCTCACATGGAGAAGTGTATAAATGTGGTTTTGTCACAATTCTAACAGATATGAAGGCTCACATGGAGTATTGCTTGTATGTGCTCTTGTCACAATCAGGAACAATTGATGAATATGGCACAGCTAACACAATCCAAAGTAATGACCACTAATAATAAAACTTATGTGACATAAAATGAAATGCACTTACTCACGGTTTACCATTATAACATATTCATTCTTCCAAACACATTTAATGAAAAACAAAATTCTTAGTAAATTTTAATAATAAATCAATATACAAGAATAAATTTGATAAAAAATTACTTACTTGATGTATTGCCAAATAATGTTTCATCAACATATGACTTCCTGCTGACACAGTAGTATTTATTGTACAGGCTGCAAGTAAATAAAAACAGTATGTCAATATCAGCTATGGCTATTTGCTGCATAAAAAATAACCTTCAGCAGGAAAACAAATGTGTGTGTGTGTGTGTGTGTGTGTGTATAGTATAGTTTATTGCCGAATCAACTTGACATAGGCATATAACCATAGAAAGTATAACATTTGTGGTAGGTGGAGGTGGCAACCACTGTTGACATATTGGAGTACCTAAAAAAGTGGTGGATGGACAGACTTATATATCTT